TTGTGCTACACTGTCTTTCCTGTGACCCCCCCACACCATGTGTACTCATCATAATACCCCTCAATCCCCTTCTCCCCACCCCTCCCCTTTGGTAATCACTAGTCCCTTCTTGGAGTCTGTGAGTCTGCTGCTGTTTTGTTCCTTCAGTTTTGCTTAGTTGTTCCACTTGTGGTGGTAGGCTCTTGAAGCTTTGTATTTTATTCACCATTTGTGTTGATGTCCTTCACATGTTTTTTCTCATTTTTAATACTCGAGTTGTCCCTGATTTGGCGATGGGGACTCATTCAAGCTGGCTTTTGTGTCCATTTGATATTTCTCTGTCATTAATTGGAACTTCCTTGTTTTTTGCTACAACAAAATACTTTAGGCTTATTTTATCTCCTTATTTTCCCAGCCCTGGAGCCAGCTATTCTAAAAAAAGCCTGTTTTTTTAGTGAACGATGGTTTTTAGAAGTCAAGACCCGGGTGTTAAGTATGCTCATTGCTTTTGGAGTGTCACTATGCTCAGGCCCTCTCAGTACACAGAGCTGGGGGGCTGGGGATAACTACACACATACATACATACATATAAACAAATATTTACCTTTATGGTATATATGAACATTAGTATATTGGTGTTAATATATTGCCATGAATTCATCATTAACTATACTAACACAGTACAACATCACAACATCCGCTTTAGTTTTCACCCTTTCCATTATTAGTTACTACTCTCTTTGACAACATGAAACAGCCTTTGTTATTCTAAATATGTTTGCTTATTTGATGTTTCTTTTATAAACCAAATATTCTATTGTGGTCCCTGCCAACTCCATCAGTGTGGACACTCCTATCCCTGCCTATTCTCTTGACTTCCTATTCTGATTCCTTCCCCCCATGTGGATGGTTTCAACATATTTTGTGGGCTCAACACCTGTCTTGTCAATGGGTTTCAGCTTCAGGCAAGTTCGCTATGGATTCAGTGTGACCAAAGAAAATGACAGCAAAACGTTCTTGGGGTGATAGGGTTATACCCAACTTTATTTCCAGGTGACAGGTCAGTCACTAAAATCTAGTTCACTCAGAGCGAGTCTGCATGCAGCAAGCTGGTTTTTGCCTCTGGGCCCCTCTGTCTGCACAGCCATCCTTTGGGCCCTCTGTCCTCACAGCCATTCCACACAGCCATCCTCCAGGCATCTCTGCACAGTTGTCCCACACAGCTGTCCTCTGGGCCTCTGTCCTCGGCCCTGCCACTACTACAGCCTCTGCTCTGCTCTTCTGCAGCCTTGCAGCCGTCATGCCCAGAGCACTGGGTGGAGCTCTTTATATAGAGTCAACAGCCATGTTTTGCCCACAGGTGTCCAGTGTGCTAGTCAGCCATGGGCAGGTGAGAATCCTGGCCATAGAAACTCTCATTTTATCCACAACACCCTATTGCTGACTGTCCCTATGCATGGATGCCCTTCTTCACTGTGCTTTGATGCTGACATCCACTGCTGGGCTCACTCCCAGGTGTTGATACTCTTAATACTCCTTTTCTGGCTCTAACAATCTGGATCCCTTGGCTCCTTTGTTGTGCTCCATATAGTTAGGGATTTTAGGCCTGAATTGGGAAGAGGAAGATCCACTTTTTAAATGAAATCTAGTAATATATTAAACTAAGCTTATGCTAAAGGAGTATTCCACAGGTATATTAGAAGGAGAAGTAAGGACGAATATGAGTATTTTTGGTTCTTCTTAATGAAGGAATGTTAGTTTGGCTTTAAATGTTTGAAAGAAACCTTATTCAGAAGTTGTATGTAGATAGTTTGGTAGTAAGGGATAGTTTTGTCTTTTTATATCTCTAGTAATATTTCAGGTCAAAGCTTGCAAGGTAAGTAGTAATTTATCTTAATTTTAATGAGAAGAAATAAGACTCTGATGTTAACTTGTCAGGTCATCCAGCAAAGAATACTTTGAAGTTTTCTTAAAAAAAAAAATCTGTATCTGTATTTTTGCCGCAAGTTAATATGGCTTAGCTATTGGTTGATTTTGGCTGTTTTTGATGGGCTTTGTGACTTTTAAAGCTTATTTAAGTTACTTGAATTACAAACCGACAGACAGTTCCAGTGTTTCTCATGAAATCAAGTAAAGTAAGCTTTTCTTTGAAAACACTTGCCACAAATTTGATGGGTTCAGAAATATAACGTTACAAAAACTAGGAAAAAACCCGGTATCTTTGTGTACTCTCTGCCAAAGTGCATAATTTTTCAGCCCAAAGATATATTTCAGACTTAATATATCAGATTTTTTTTTTTTTTGGCCTGGGGGTTGGTGGGCGGAGCCAGGCACGTACACTTAAAAATGTTCAGAATTTAGATTAGGGGTATTTTCAGAACCACTTTTCTCCTGGGGAATTTTTTATTGTTGCTGGTTCAGACTTAAGGCATGGATTCTTGAACAAGTTATAAATTGGATGACAGATGAAAAATTAGGGTTTTCATACGACAGCATTTACAAATCTTAATTAACTCTTAATGTCGACATTTAATGTTGATATGGGGCCATTAGACCTTATAATGGATTTTGGTAGAAGATGCCTAATAGAAATAAACTGGGTGTTAATAGGACTGTCATTTGCATATTCCCCCCAACCCTTGACTTTTGGTAGTAATCTCCTTTATGTACCAGTTGGTATCTGTATAAAAGGAAATATATATTTAGTAAGTGTATTTCTGATATAGCTATTTGTTTTAGTTTGTGTTAAAAAACAAATTTCATCTAAGTAAACTTAAAGATCAAATTGGCTTTATTCAACAATTCATGAATCAGGCCAGCACCCCATGTAGCCAAATAAAAAGTAACTCCAAAGAGCTGTACAAAACAGACAGCTTTTATGTAGGCAGAAATGAGCAGGTAGAAGGAAAAAGCAGATTACCTCATCTATTTTTGGGGAACAGAAGGGTCTGTCAGGTGGACTGCCTCACTTGGTGCTGACCACGAAATTCCAGACTGACCCGTTGAGATTACACACCTGGGAAGGGCTGAAACTGCAGTTAGGTTACGTGTTAAGTCTTGGTTTGCTGATGAGAGGCTAGCGCAAGTGACTCCACTTGGGCCTGTTTCTTTTTTAACATTTGTCAGAACTGCCATAAAGTTCTACAAACAGGTGGTTTAATAAAAAATCTATTTTCTCATTGTTCTGGAGGCCTAAGATCAAGATGTGGGCAGGGACTGCTCTCCTCTAAGACTGCCCCTTGGTTTGCAAATGGCCACCCTCTTGCTGTCTCTTCATATGGTCTTTTTCCTGTACTTGTACAACCCTGGTGTGTGTTAGTGTGTTCAAATTTCTTCCTTTTATAAGGACTTAGAGGATGTAATTGGACTCACCCCAACAGCCTCATTTAAGTCAGTAATTTCTCTAAAATGTTCTATGGAATTTGTCTCAGGTTTTTCAAATTGTAGCAGGTATTTCCCACTTATGGCACACATGAGCATTTAGCATTTAAACATTTTCATTACCATGGTGAGTAAACAGTTGTTTCTATTTCTCCTGTCTGGCCACACTTAACTTTTTTTCAATAGACCAGTACAGTTTGAGATAGTAGAATGAGAGAAAATTTCAGTTATATCTTGAGACTTACTCCACTTCCACTCCTCCCCCCACCAAATTAGTATGGCTTTAAAAAGTTCTGCCATAGCATTTACATTTGAAAGAATAATTTTAAAAGAAGATTAACAATGGTATCTGTCCTTTTGTTTTTGAAAATTTCACATTTGAGAGTATGCATTTGCAACAATATTACATTTGTGTTTTGTAAGTTTAGATATTTTGATGTTCAGAACATTTGGTTTCTTCATTGACTAATTGTTTGAGCTCTATGTTGAAATGAGTATAGCTGCCCGGTTGGCTTCTGCCTTATTTAAAAAAACTGAATTTACTGTTTAGATTGGGGTGGCAACTTGAAACCTTAATTTGTATAATTGAGAGGCTCTCTCAAAGTTAAATTGAAAGTGCAGAATAGCTATAGTTCCTAAAATATTTAAGATACTCATGATGATTATATTTATAAAAAAGCCTTTTGCTTATGGAAATATCCAGTCATGTAAGGAGAGAGGGAGCAGTACACCTTGTGCCAACATTTATAAACACATGAACAGCCTTGTTTCATCTATACCCCTATTCAGTATCCCCTGGATTATTTTAAAACAAATTCCAGGTACATGAATTTAATTGTAAAGACTTGAGTGTATGTATGTCTTTTATATATGTACCATCATCACGCTAACCATTATCACAGCTAAAATGATTAATTTCTTAACATGTAATATTCAGCTCATGTTCAAAATTAGATTGTTTCATAACCTCAGTTTTTAAAAATTAAGTTGGTTTGAGTAAGGATCTGTATATGGTCTATATTTTGTTTTCGGTTGATCTACCTATACAGAGCCATTTATTTGTTGGAAGAACCAGCTATTTGACCTGTATAATATCCTGTGATATCGATTTGATTAATCACTTCCCTTAGATGTCCTTTAATTTCTTCCTATATGTCGAGTTCCTGCACATTGGTAGCTAGATCAAATTTCAGATTCTGTGTGGGGTGGGGGCCAAGAATACATTATGTGTATTATGCTGTGTGCATCGTATTGTGTCACATCAGGAGACAATTGATGTCTAGTCTTTAATAAGACCATTATAATATTTTTAAAAAGCTTTATTGACATGTAGTTTATTTACAATAGCCAAAGATGAGCTTTGAAAAAAATGTGTACATTTGTAGAACCATCAAAATCAAGATTAATACTCCATTACCTTGAAAATTTCCACTTTCCTTTGCAGTCATTCTGCTTCTTCCAGACCCTTTACCCTCACTCCACTGATATGGCTTTTGTCACTATATTTTTGCCTCTTCTAGAACTTAATAATAAATGGAATCATATAATAGTACGATTATTGTAATTTAAAGGAGATACAGCATGAGGAGTTAATTTTGACCAGGAGCTAAGGCCTAATTCCTTCCATTTTTATATGACAGGGACTTGCCATGAGGTGTTGAAGCCTTGTTTCACTGAGTTGGAGAGACTGGACCTAAATGGCGCAGCATGACTTTGCTCCAGCCTGGCTTAATTTTCCTACTCCACCATCATCAACCAAGGTACTCTTTCTTGCATCTCTCTCTCTCTTTATCTTTCTGTCTGCCTCTGTTTCAGTCATGTTGTATATACATAATGTAGTTAAAATGTGAAGTCTTCATATTTTTGTGGAGAAATACTTTATTACCGTCTAAGTTATTTAATATTGTTTTTTATGACTTAAAAAGTCAGTTTTCAATATACTACTGATAATACTACACTATTTACTTCAGAGTTGTCTTTTCCACACTATTTTAATTCAGACCACTAGATAAACTGAACATTGCTTTTATAGCTTAACTTTTTTCTACACTGTTCTTTGTATTGTTTGTTTACTTTCCTATAGCTATGTTTTAAAAAACCTAGGTTTTTGAAGTCTTCCCAATAAATAAGACTTTGGCACATTACTACAATTTTGGGAGTGCTAAGAATGTTGCATCATACCAGGACTCACTGATCTAAGAAATGTTCATTTTACTTAAAAGCCAAAACAGATAGTTTGTAAAAACTTGGCTAGACATTGAAATTGTCATCAACTTACAAGAAGTGCCAGGAGAGGGACCTTGGAATTGGTTAGAATCAGTCTACCTGGTTTAATAGCTGTTTTGCACTTTGTTTTTTTCCCAGTGGGACAAAGGAATCAAGAGATGGTCCTGATCATCTGCTTGCCTGTTAATCAAGCTCTACCATGATAAGACCTTTTGGGGTATACTTTTTTTAGGTTATAGGCAGTTCTTATAAAAGAGTTAACTAAAAACGGAATAATTGTAAGATTTTGAAAGCTGTTTCCCAATAAGGACTACTCAGATCATAATAGTTTTGGCCCATAATATAATATATTGAAAAACCTACATTCTCCTAGAAAATATTGTTTAAATATGGGACTTAATGAGCATACAGACTGACCTTATTTTATTCAGATGGATTCTCTGGAAGATTAATGGACTTGTCTGTTTTCATATAATTAGTGTGAGCCTAGACTAGAATCCAGGATGCATTTCCTATTCTGCACTCTTTCCATAGGACTCATTTTGGAATTCTGTGAAATAATTAAACATTCCATTTCAATACTATAAAATGGGATTTGAAGTTGTTGGAAAATGGGCACTCTGATTAAGCTATTTATCACTTAGTTACAAAACTCTGTTTGCCCCTTTCTGTCTCATGTGTAGGTAGGTCTCTGGAATTTGCTTCCCCACTTTTACTCCCTCTCCAGGTGTTCTTATCTATACTTTTAGGGGATTCATTTTTTTACCCAGGCCTACTTTAGAGTCTGGATGCATGAGTTTCCTGCTTCCTCCTTTATTTCCTTTTCCCCTTTTGTTTATTTTCTCTGAAATAAGTATAAAACTTGTTTTCATTTTTAAGTAGATAATAAAAATTAACCAGCACCTACCAAGTTAGTTACAAAGCATTAAAAAGCTTGAGAATAATTCTAGTCTTCATTGAAATGTTAATCTAATAATGATTAAGATTGACTACTGTTATGTGTGGTGAAATTCTCACTGCTTTCTAGAACCAGACTCTTGATCCTGGTATAGGCCTTCATGAATGATGATTATTTTGAGAATTGGGATTGCCTAGTCTTAAATCCTCAATTATTCTAATTTATTCTAAATCATCTCCTGGAAATGTTATCAATTAGAACTCTTAAATAGCAGTATTTGAAACTGTTTCCTTAGACCTTCCCCAGAGTGGTTTTGACACACGCACACATACCTTTTAGTAATGACTTTTTTTCCTATACCTTCTGTCTTATTTTTAACATCTATCAAAATGACCAGCTGTGGGGCTCATTTATTATTAACCTATTTTCTGTTGGAGCCCTCTTAATCTCACCTGAATAAATGGAACAGACATTACTGTATTCGTTCTCTGTTTCAACCTCATGGACGTCTATTTATTTCTGTTAGAAGGGATAATACAAGGACTTGAATTAAAGATAAAAATGGTTTCAGAACTGCACTTGAGTAGTTTTTGAGGCGTATAGAATTTTAGCCCCATCATGTGGCGAAATTTTAAACTGCATGTCGTTGATTATGTCTGGCATAGCTTTGGCGTTTGAATTGGGGGTGGGGGTGGGAACCTAGTAAGAAGTAAATTTTCCATGTTTTTTTGTGTATATAGGTAGAATTAAAATAAAAGTCATGCACCTGTGTTGCACTAATACCTAAAAATGCAGATTGCTACTCTTCCTCATCCTTCAACATCAGACCTACAGTTTGAAAAGTAAAATTTTTATTATTTAAGGAATACTGGACTAAAATGGTTATAGATACTAAAATTTAGAAACCTTTTTAGATACCCCTGTTTTAGATATTTCTCTTTCTCATTCTTACATGACAAAGGGATACCTCCACCTGATCACAGGGATCAATTTTCTTTCTTTTTTTTTTATCATCAATTGTTTGAAGAAGTAAGATCTCTGGGGTGTGGTATTAATAGAAAGAGTAGATGGGTGGTAGGAAATTGAAAGTAGAGGCATTTTTATTCTTTCTAAACAAAAAACAGTAACATGATAGTATTCCATAGTCTATACATTTTCGTGTTTGTATTCGATGTTTTGTGGTTATTTCTGTGACTCTAGTGTAGTATCATCTCTGGGGTGTGGTATTAATAGAAAGAGTAGATGGGTGGTAGGAAATTGAAAGTAGAGGCATTTTTATTCTTTCTAAACAAAAAACAGTAACATGATAGTATTCCATAGTCTATACATTTTCGTGTTTGTATTCGATGTTTTGTGGTTATTTCTGTGACTCTAGTGTAGTATCAGTGTCTGTTCAGTCTTTCATGGTAACATTTAAAAAACAATGATTAATAGTGTTACATTCCTTCAGTAATGTTACAATAACGTTAGGCTAATAATATTAGAACATTCAGACTAGTAGCCAAGTTCATTGAAACTTTTTGTTTACCATGTAGAGTCTTGTTAATTACTGATTGAGATATTACGGACATAAGAGAGAAAATTACTACACTTTTTTAAAGGAATCAGAAAAATATTTGAAATATGTAAGAGATAAAGGGATGTTTTTTTTTGTTTTTTTATCTGGAGGAGATGGGTGTGAGTGGGACAAGCGCCTTTTTACATGATTTGCAGAGATCTGTTATAACTCTCACCTTGGTCCGCATTGGACAATGTCGGGGAGGGGGGGAACTCTGTAAGAAATGTACTCAACCAAATGGTTGTTGTCTACAGATCTAGGACCATGTCAGTCCAATAAGAGAATTCAGGTTGTCAAACCAGATTGTTCAAATTCCTTAGGTTCTTTTTTGGCCAAGTAACCACTGGCCTGGCCTGCAGTTGCTCTTAGGGGAAGGGGAAAAAAAAATCATGTCTAGGGATGATAGACCAGAATCCTGAATTTTGTAAATGGGTCTATATAATCTCATAATTCTTCACTTCTTTCTTCTTGATTACTCTCTGCAAAGTGTCTGAGATTATCTCTTTTTGGCTATGTTTCATTCACTGACCAGTCACTTATTACGATGTGTGAAGAGATGTTTGGTGCCTTGGGGTTAGAAGAGTATGGAATGTCCATTGAGTGTTTGGAATATTGCTCCATAGCAGTGTGGCCTTTTTGACAAAAGAATACTGTTGTTGGAATGATAGTGGTCTGGAATGCCAAAAACATGACACAGGTTCATTTCAAGGGTCACGATGGTGTGACCAGAGTTAGCTCATCAGACTGTAACCTGAAAAAGGCTTAACATTGATGAGACAACATTGATAGTTCTAAGAAGTGGCAAAAGGTTTGACATAGTTCCCCTTGTATAGTATGATGGCCTTCACTGCAAGACAGATGGACCAGCTGTTGGGAATCACAAGTTGGCATGGGATGGTGGCTTCTCCATCTGCATCAGAAAGATGAAAGTCCTTTATTCTGTGGCCAGTCCATAGTGGATGTATGTGTTTCATGTTTGGTGTGATGGTGGATTTAGGTAGCATGCTACAGACTTGGTCAGCATTCTGATTTGTCTCGATGACATTTGCTCTTGCACTGGCTGCAGTTTCCCAGTTTGTGATCCAAAGAGGTGTCTTTATTCTACTCTGTAGATGTTCAGGTGATGGACAAGATGACTAGGCCATTGGCAACAGCCCAAGACTCAAGGAAGTATCAAATGGCTAGTCCTTAAGACTGTTATCTAAAGCAGGAGTCACAGTTTTCATACTAGTTTCATATTAGTTCACAGCATTGTTATGACTGGCACTTACCCATTTGGTCTTCCACAGTTGCTGGGTCTGGATGACTGCTGCCACCTAGTGGACAGACAGCATCATCTTTTAATTTAGTCTAACCATCAGTGATCCAGGCCCAGGCATTTAGGGGAACTTGTGTGACTTGAGATCCTTAACTTCCCTGCACCTTGTTGCATGTAGCAGGGAGGGGGAATAAGGTTATTGCAAAGGGTAATTGGTACTTCTTCATGCAAAACTGTAATGTCCTTAGGGCCAGGCCTTCTGCACCCTGGAACACACTATTTCCATTTGATCAAAAGCCCTGGTTGGCCCTTTCCTTGTTAGTCCTTGGTTTGAATTGTTTTCATTAAGAGCTCAGCATTAGGGCAAGAGGCCACGTTCTCTTTAAAAAAGGAGTGGTTTTGGTGCGTGTGTCAGGGCAGATGTCACTGCTGTACTAGGAAATAACCCCTCTGAATACTCCACTAGCCATAAAATCTTCAACTACATTTCTGATTTTCTTTTTTTTCCCTTCTGGGAGCCTATATAGTTTTTGCTACACCACCTGGAAGGGGACAGGAATCACCTGTCAACCTGTGACATTCCCTGATTGGGAGAACCTTGAGCATTTTCAGTATAAGCATGTAACATTAGTACCAATGTGAAATACAGCAGTACATTGAATTGGCCTAAAGGCCCTACCTGCAACATCACTTAAATTTCCTTTTCTTTTTGCTGAATTTTCTTTAAACTGTCAGACTGGGGCACTAGAACACCTTTTCCCACTGTTGGGATGCGGACTAAGGAGTTTAGTACATGTACATCAGAGCTACAGCCTAAGCTTTCAGGAAATTGCATTATTTCTTCAGCTGGAGATGTGGGGAAGTGCAGACTGCCTTTTTGGGAATTGCATGGGTGGTTTGTTGATTCTTTGTTCCTCTTCCAGTTTCTCAACCAGAGTTGGTGTTGCCTCCTCTCCTATGTCTGTACCTCCTGGCTCCAGGGAACACTGAGTCTGGGACCTTTCCTGTCCCCAAACCCTACTCTGCCATGGCTTTGCCCCACATTCCTCAGTACACTCAGCTACCCATATATGCATAGTACTGTCCCAGTTGAAGTGGTTAGAATGTTGACTTGGGAGCCTGTTTCCAACAGTGCTCTAAAGTTTGTCTCCCATTTCTTAAATGCCAACATACTTGACTTCCTCTTTACAGTGCTGAGGTCTATTTAGTGGGGGAAGGAAGGGAACAGGGGAGTACAGAGAGCCCAGAAAGCTTCCATTCCAAGAAGCTAGGCTCTGCATTTACTGTTACAGTAGAAACAGTAGCAGCTCAACCTTAGCAAATTCACTTCTGATATTTTTAATCTTTCCAAGACTATATTCTCATTGCTGACACTTTATTTCAGCTTTGGAGATCCATTGATTCAGCAGCCACGTCATGCTGCATTTCACCTGCGACTCCATCATTAAGATGAAACATCCGCTTCCTTTTCTTACTTGAGTTAAACTACTAAAACACTACTTGGGCACTTTGTTTCAATCCTACCACTGTTGGCCACTAAACAGTGAGGGACTCTTATTTCTACCCATCACTTGGCTGAGAGCAATTGCTGCCAAATCCTGGAGACTCTTCCTATATGCCCTAATGTGGCCCAGGAGATCCTTGTTTTTCTTTTTCCAGAATATTGTAGCTTTGTCTGCATCACATCCCTGTCATCAGTCAAGATTATTTGGGTCTGGGAAGGGTTTGGGCCTTTAACCTATTTGCAAGCTTAGCAAGCTAGCTTATTTTTGTTACATGGATGCTAGTGGAAGACATGAGATGATCAAAGACTTCATCTTTCATGGCACAACAAGCAGCATAAGGAGGAAACTGGGGTAGTAGGGGAACTGGCACCAGGAATTCCTGCAGGGGCAACATGGAGGGCCCAGTTGAATGATAGGGGTATGTGTAGAGGGTTTGCATTTTAAATGAGGAACTCTACTCTGTCCTGGAAGGAATTGTACAAAAGTACAACCCAGAGAAATGGTCAGGGCATTGAAAAAAAAGTTCGGAGTTCTGATTGTGATTTTATCAGATTAATATATGAACATTGGGGAAAAACAACAAACTTTATAAATATTTGTAAATTTTACAATTTTTGTGCATTTCTAATTTTTAAAAATAGTTTTTATATGTTTTTCTTTTGACACTAACAGTTACTTTAGGGAAGAATTTGGAACTAAATCTGGAGGATTTAGAATTGTAGCTTCATTTGCTACGATTTTCTGACATTGAAGGAAAAAATCTTGAGTGATTTAAATCAAGTAGTGTAAGATTCAGAATATTAATTACATTTTGCCTTGTTTCTCTTACAATGTCATTTTACCTTTAAAGTCTTTGGGTAAGTGGATGTGGTTGTTGATTTCTTTCAGAACCGTCCTCTTGTTTCTGTTAGGTAGAAGAAGAAAGACCAGTAATGGAATTCATCTTACAGTTAACAGTTACTAAACACATTGAAAGTAACAACAAAATGTTCTTAACCACTTAGAATTCTTGGAAACAAATTAAGCGAGTTTTATTACTAGTTTTTAAAGTCTTACTTAGGTTTTAAATGTGTATTTACCTGCATACTTAAAATTTGTTTTCAGTCATCATTGAATTTTGAGAAGCATTCTGAAAACTTTTCATGGACAGAAAATCGTTATGATGTGAATCGTCGACGACACAACTCTTCAGATGGCTTTGATTCTGGTATTGGACGTCCTAATGGAGGTAAAATTTGTTAAGGAATAAAAGAGTTTAAGAATAATTTTCTTCATGTTCTTTTAAGATTGTTTTGATGGTGATTCAGTCTTGAAGCATAACCATCATCTTTGCATTTGTAATACTTTACCATTATAGGTAACTTTGGAAGGAAAGAAAAGAATGGATGGCGTGCGCATGGAAGAAATGGTACAGAAAACATAAATCATCGAGGGGGATACCATGGTGGAAGTTCCCGTTCTCGTAGCAGTATTTTCCATTCTGGAAAAAACCAAGGACTACATGAAAACAACATACCTGACAATGAAATGGGGAGGAAAGAAGACAAAAGAGAACGCAAACAGTTTGAGGCTGAAGATTTTGTAAGTTTCTTGTAACTTTAATATTCTTTATTCTTGCAAGTAATGTCTCTGCAAGTGAAGTTTTAGTATGAAGGCTCTCATGAGATAGTATCAGTAAAGCCCATTTTCTATAGAGATCATACTTATGGGGTCCAATTAATCTATTTTTAGTCCATCATTTTGTGAGGCTTTTTGTTCATAATCTTCCCTCCCTCAATTCTGTCCCTCTTTATCCCCACCTCCTCCTTATTCTTCATGTGGTCTTCTAATACTTTCGATAAATTTTACATCATTTCTTACTTACAAAAACTTAAGGAATTTTCCTTAGATATAACAGCTGAGTTTACTGGCTTATTTAAGCAAGTGCATCATAATATTACCTCTAAAAAGTTATCAAGCTTATGGAAAGTATTTTACCCCATTACATTTTACTTAGTATGTTCCTTTTAAAGAACACTTGATTATTCATATATGACTCTTAAGCTAATTTCCAGGTTAGCTCTCTCTTCAGCTACATTTTCTCTTCAAAAGTTTGTTCGTGGTCAGGGAAGGCAAACTAATTGTTAGCTTAGGTCAGGTACAATTAGAAATGTTAACTCCACTACTAAAGACAAATATAAAGCAATTAGAAACAAATTCTTCATTTTTTTCTATTCCTAAATCTCACGACATGACCTACCTAACTATGCTTCTCAATTTGCATAAAAATTGATCCCAGTGTACGATCTTTTTTCTTTCTATTTTTTTTTAAAAATTGAAGTATAGTTGATATACAATCTTATATTGGTTTCAGGTATACAACACAGTGGTTCAGCAGTTAGCTGTATTAATTAAATCTTCACCCCCCACACACACTAGTACAGTTACTGTCTGTCAGGATAGGAAGCTGTTTTTTTTTTAGATAATTATTTTTTATTGAAGGGTAGTTGACACACAGTATTACATAAGTTTCAGGTGTACAACACAGTGATGAACATTTATATACATGATAATTCTAGCTACCAGCTATCACCATACCAAGTTGTTACAATATTTTGACTATATTCCTTATGCTATACATTACATCCCGGTTACTTATTTATTTTAC